GAAAATTATTTTAATTATTTTATTTCTATTATAACAATAGAAACAAAATAATTATTTTATTTCTATTATTTTTTCTATTATTTTTATTTTTTACCTACGTAACTTTACCGAAAAAAACCTAAGAGTGCGAGGACTGCTGTTTCCATAAAATAACAACACATTCTAGATTTTAAGCTTTCGTGACTGCAGGAATCCATACTCTTTGGTTCTTTCGGTAAAGTCACGTAGGTAGAAAATAAAATACAATAAATAACATTCACTGTGCATCTAAAATCACATCTTAGCTGAAGAGAGTTTATTGTTGTCAGTGGAATATTGATTCAAAATAAATGTTTGTGTTAGATCTCATGAGTAAAGTGTGTGTCGTACACCCTGCTCCACCAGTGGAATATATTTTAGCCTAATTGGAGAGATTTTCAGGACCATACTTTCGGTAAAGTCACGTAGGTATAAAATATAAAATAAATTCAATCACGACGTTTCGGGCGCAACACAAGCGTCCGTCATCAGGTGGGAAAGCATGGTCTGCTGCTGACGCAGACTGTTTTAAGAAGGTTTGAAATGGGTGTAGCCCAAGGGTCATAAAGATGTGGCCGGGGCTAGTGATGTTAATGTGAGAAATTAGCATGTAACTGTAAGATAGGAGAGCGGCCTCCTCAACGAGAGCATGGAAGTGGCTATTTTAATGTGAGAGATTAGCATGATCTTATACCTACGTGACTTTACCGAAAGAACCAAAGGGTAACAACACACTGTTTTTTTTCTTCTTCTTGGTTCTTTCGGTAAAGTCACGTAGAATGGAAATAATAAAATAATAAAAATAATTAAATATTGCTTTATACTTTTTCATTTTATTAATTCAATCACGACGTTTCGGGCGCAAAGTCACGTAGAATGGAAATAATAAAATAAGAAAAATAAAACATTCTTTTATAATTTTTATTTTTATTATTTCAATTCTATGTGACTTTACCGAAAGAACCAAGAAGATGAATCCCTGCAGTCACGAAAGCTTTACATCGAAATTCAACACACTGTTTACTTGCCTTCACCAAGCACCGATGTAAATTCCACACTCTTATGGCACTTGATCGCAGAGGCTCTTGGATACCCTGGCATTGAGTTACTCGATAGAAACTTTCACCCTCGATAAACGAGCTCATAAGGAGGGCTGCAAAGGGCTCGAGGAGTGGGTACGGCCGAGGACACGTGCCATTCTAACATTACGAAAGGGTGAAACTAATACAATTTGACACATTCTCTGAATTTGCTCGATGGAATGAAAGAATGATTGGAACGAGGCCAAGGGGCAGAAATAAGTACGCTGCCAGGCAACTCGAATAAAGGAGCAGAGCCTGTAAGAGCTCACCAATTGCGAAATTTCTCAGCTGGCTTCTGAGACAAACATACAAAGAAGAGTTTTATGGCCGACAATGCTATTTCGTTTTACACTGACACCAACATTGCATAGCTACCTAGGAGGACATCTTCTGATGAGGGCCCGAGGAGAGGCTCGCATTCATAGGAGACCACCTCCGCAACATCTCTTCTAGAAGCCGCCAGAAACTTCCGCCCAACAAATTCGAGACCGTGCTTCCAATGAGGGTTTTCCCGAAGAGGGCACGGCGAGGCGATGGCGTCTTGAGCAGCAGCATCAGAGTTTGAACGGAGCCGGCTAAAGGGTGCCGTCCATAAATGACGTCACGTGATTTTGGACGATTTTTGACCGCCCCCCCCTCATCGTCACAAAAAGTCAGACCCCCCCCCCTCAAATATGACGTCACAAAGCTCTGCCCCCCCCCCCAAATGAAACATGCTTCAAATCGCTTTAAACTATTGTCATTGTAGCGCGTATTTAATGTGGCGCTGCACTCTGATATTGCAGGAGAAAACATTTATTAAAAAGTCTATTTAATTAAGTAGAACGTGTTGTCTGTATTTATTTAAAGTTGCGCGTTTTGATGTGACGTCATATTTCTGACCCCCCCCCCTCATTGTCACAAATGTCTGCCCCCCCCCCCCTAGGTGCGTGACGTCATTTATGGACGGCCCCTCACACTCGGTCCGGGTGTAAGTTTGTGAGCCGCTGTTTGTTTCGGGTGGCCGCAGTCACTCCATTGTGGGGGTGGGGGACATCATTTATATTTTTTAGTATTACACACTTTTATTTAACTCACTGTTGTTGTCGTATCCTCAAATCTTGTAACTCAATTTTAACCCACTTCCCAATGTGGTATCGACTGCAAACTTGGTATACGTATGTCATACTGATGACAATACTATATTCTATCAAAAAAAAATTAAACCATCTTTTTTATATGTTATGTTTTGCCTTGGGTCTAATTGTCCATGCTCAACTGACGTTGGCTGTAAATCACCACGGCCCCCTTACGTTATGGCAAGCCTCGGGGCCACTTCCTGGAGTCGTGGAGTTCTGCCATTACTAGTAGTGTACATTTCATTAAAGCGTGTTGTTTTAAAAAAGGTATTTTTAAATATTACTTATTTATTCATGTCCCACTTGCGAAGGAGAATTGCCCAAATGGGGAGCGGTCGCTGTTCTTAAGCGGTTGATGATGGAGCCACCGGCAGAACATCGGCGAGCGTAGCGGTGGTGGACCTGAGTAACCTCTGAAGAAATTCAAAGTGTTCCTCAGCGGTGTTCAGTTGGTCACTTCTCAATTGTATTCGTGTCACCCTTTCCTGGTCTGCCAATCGGTCTTTTGTGCCGTTTGGGAGACCAAGACCACCATCGCAGGGTCATATACAGTACTGAGTAAAATATAAGATGATGATAACTTGAAATTGGCCAGGAGCGAAGGGAGTTTGAGCCGAGAACCTGCAATTGCACTGGTCTCTTTCCTTAATCACAACAATGTTGGCGTTGCGACTATATTGGAAATAAATAAAAAAAAATGCGTTCCTACGCAGAAAAATGTCAGGCAGACTGGTCTGATGGCATTTCTGTATTTATAGAAAAAACTTTAAAGACTCCCGTGTGTTTCCCCCCATGCCTATGAATCTCTCACTGTGCTGTCGTGATCTGTAATCTCAAGCAAGACAAAGATCACACGTATAGTCTGAACAGACTGTTGGGGCAAGTGCTGTTAGCGAGCACCTAATGAAGGCCGGCACGGCACACGAGGGGGTGGGTGACTAGCACCACGTCCGGCGATGTTTACACACCACACCAGGTACTCATTTGAAGCTGAATCGACCTAGGGGAAGCCCATGATCGGTTTAGATAATCGTCACTGGTGTTGGCCTTGAGTGAGAATTGAACTTGGGTCGCTGGGTTCGTAGCGCAGCGCGCTCACCGATCATGCGCACACCGATTACCAGGAGAACAGACGCACAACACGTCCCGCACTGACCAGCGTGGTGAAGTATGGTCATGCAATTCCCATGACCGACACGGCATGAGAAGGCCTGAATTTGCTGACTCATCGATTGACAACTTAAAATAATAGTTAATAACACGTGATATTTCCTGCACGTGCTATATGCAATTAGAAAACAAATGCATTTTACTTTGTCTCTTATTTCAGGAGGGTCCTGCTTCATACAGAGGGATATTTGAACAATAATAATAATTTCAACTTCTAACGCGTCGTAGGGCCCTTGTGAGCTCACTCTGGTAGAGAGAGCGAGATCGACTAAGAGGCGAGAGGAACCACATACAAGCAGGAAGGTAGCCTGACAGTAAGCCGGCACGCCAACAACTGCCCAAGCTCTTGCTGTCCTCTATGTGCTGTGGTGTTATCAGCCAATTAATTACAAGTTTACACGTGGGAGGAAGCCGGAACTCCCAGAGGAAACGCACGTGTGCGAGGGGGAAACACTCGATCCCGTGCAGACAAAACAGATATGAAGGTGTTACTTGCCAATTATTGAGCGTTTCCATGTGGGAATGAGCCGGGGCTCCCGCACGTGCGAGGGGGAAACGCTATATCCCGTGTTTAGTCTGTTGTCCTTCTCCCGCTGGGTGGGGGGTGGGAGGGTTGGGGCTGGGTGGGGAGGGGCTGGTCACCCCGTGGTGCCCTTATAAAACTCAACGTTTAACCTACTCACGCCGGCTTGTTGCCCGCCCTCACAGTCGGGCATATTTGCGGAATACACCACGCCGCCGTTGACCCTGGCCATTGACCGAGCAACCCAACGTTCCTACCAGCTCCCTCCGCAGGAATGTGTTTACAGACCAATTCAGATCTTATTGGTCACCCCGTGCCCTTATACATCTCAACGTTCACCCTGCAAAGTCCCATCACAAGAGAGAAACACAAACAAATAGACAAAAACATTGAAATTATTGAAACGGCTTTACGCCGTATGGACCTGAAAAATAAATTTCCCTGTACAAGAATATGGGTAAGGGGCCGTCCATAAATGACGTCACGCGCCTAGGGGGGGGGAGGTCAGATATTTGTGACGATGTGTGACGAGGGGGGGTTTGAGAAATGTGACGTCACATCAAAATGCGCAACTCTAAATAAATATAGACAACACGTTCTACTTAATTAAATCGACTTTTTAATAAATGTTTTCTCCTACAACATCAGAGTGCAGCGCCACATTAAATACGCACTACAATGACAATAGTTTAAAGCGATTTGAAGCATGTTTTATTTTGGGGGGGGGGGGGCAGAGCTTTGTGACGTCATATTTGAGGGGGGGGGGTCTGACTTTTTGTGACGCCGTGTGACTAGGGGGGGGGGGGGTCAAAAATCTTCAAAAAATGCGTGACGTCATTTATGGACGGCCCCTAAACCGGCCAGGAGAAATTTCCCCCACAAATGCCACGGCTAGGTGTGTGTGTGTGCATTACAGATGCGTCGTCTATTGTGCGTGTAAATGACATTGAGACTTTATTTCCGCATATACATTCTTAAGCAAATTTGCCATGACACGAGGAGGGGAAGGGAGGTGGGGAGGGGGGGTTCGATTTTGGTGTTTCATGAAGGAGGAATGAGGAAACTGCGTCGTTCCTCAAGAGGTGCGACAGAGCGAGCTCGCGAGCTGTCTGCACGGGTCGCGCGCGTGGTGGAGAACTAGTGGCTTTAGTAGAATAACTATTGGGTTTAGTAGAACTATTGGCTTTAGTAGAACTACTGGATTGTTCCGACAGGCTAAAGGGGAGACGACAAAGCGAGCGAGGTAGGGAGAGAGTTGATCGCAAGGCAAAGCCAGGGGTTACAGAGGTGGGGGAACAGATACACTCAGAGACGCGCATCAATTGAAAAGAAGAAGAAATCCGATGTGCACGGTTGGGCGCGTACGGTGCGAAATAAGTTCAACGTACCGCACTGATATAGCGCAGAGGCACGGGGTTATAATCGAGAGATAGAGAGAGCGACTGAGATAGGAGGACAGCGTTTTGTTGTCAACACAAACTTAATACGAGAACAGAGAGAGAGACGGAGAACCGCGGGGAGACAGGTAACGGGGGTAGTTGGAGGGGTGGTAGAACAAAGCGGCAAAGTGAGACAGAACCAGGCAATTGTCAAGCAAGAGACAGAAGGACAGCAAGGGAGAGACACGGGGAGAGAGCCACAGACAGACGGAGAGAGATGAAATGAAAGGATAGAGAGAGAGAGAGAGACACACGAAAAGCGAGAGAGAGAATTTTTTAAAAATATAATAAAAAATAAAGAAACAAGAAAAGAAAGAGACAAAATTTGAGAGAGACGTGAGCACACGGTCCGAGCAAGCGAGACTTGGCAGAGAGACACAGAAGCAGCAGAGACCCAGATAGACACAGAATCAGACCCCAGAGAGACAAAGTCGGGGCAGAAGCGATGGAAGGAGCTGTCCCGTGCGATTACTGCCTCGGAGGATCAGCAGCAGCAGCAGCTGCCGTGAAAACCTGCCTCACCTGCTTGACCTCGTTTTGCGAGGAACACCTGAGACCACACAAGGTAGGGGGGAAGACGTGCAGCAGTTACTTCACTTGAGGCTGAGTCGACTTCGACGAGGAACGGTTGTTGGGGCGTGAGCGGGGATCGAACTCGGGCGCCAGCCCGGTTCGTAGCGCTGCGCGCGAATCGTTGCACCACCGCTCCTCACTCACGCACGTACGTACGCACAATCACCAGCTTTGGATTATCATCATCATCATCATCGGTAAGTCAAGTATTCATGCTCTTAGGTTTTTTCGGTACGTAGGTAAAAAATAAATAATAAAAAGAAATAATATTAAAAAGTAGGGGAGGGGGGGATATTTATTTATTATTTTATTTGTATTATTTTCTCGATAATTTTTATTATTTATTTATATTATTTATTTTTTGCCTACGTGACTTTATCGAAAAAACCTAAGAGTATGAATCCTTGCAGTCACGAAAGCTTAAAATCTAGACAGGTAAGTCAAGTGTTTATTCAGTATTTCTACTACTATTCATTGTCTATGAATGGTTTTTTTTCAACATATATAGGGTTTTTTACGCGCCTATTGTAAAAAGAATTGTAGCTTTCATTTGGCATCGATTAAAGTTCTGATTTCAATTGCGATTTGAGGCTAGTTGTAAATGACTGGCGAAACGTCGTGCTCAGACTGTAAATGTTTGTGGCTTGGCTCTCCAGCACACCGGTTCGTGCTGTACTAGTGACGAATTGACACGTTTCGTTTACGTGGCAATGCTTACTCAACGGCTGTGTCGGGTGGTGGCGGGTTTGACGATACATTTACATATTTACACGATCTAACCCCTTCCCAAAAAAAAAAACAACTGTGTTATGGATTCAATTGCGATGTTGTCTATTCTTACTCTGCTTCTTTCGGTAAAGTCACGTAGGTAGAAAAATAAAAAAGTAAAAAAATATTTTTTAGTTTTATTTTAAAAATATTATTTTTTAGTTTTATTTAAACAAAACAAAAAAATATAATTTCTAGTTGTATTTTCTACCTACGTGACTTTACCGAAAGAATCAAAGAGGATGGAGAATTCCTGCAGTCATGAACGCTTCAAATCTCGATCGTCTATTCTTGTTTGCCGCGCGACCCAACCCCATTACACTGGTCAACAACAAAAAAACGTTTTTTTCTGGCCTGGACTTTTGCAGCTGTTTTAGACTAATGTCAGGGTGCTGATTCCAAATCTGATCTCAGATTTGCTCTATCACATCTCATTTTTATGCTATCGGCATACCCCATTTTCATTGATTTTCCCCGAAATTAAACTCTGTCACTTATGATTGCAAGTTGTTGCGAGTCAGTGACTGCTTTAGTGTTAAAATACGGTGCTGTATTTTTAGGATAGTGTGTTTATAATATCATTTTATGTAGATATCCACATTTATTTACAATTTTGTTCCGCAGTTTTTATAGAAAATGCAATATTTGATATCTCAAAAACCTGATGTGATAGACAAAAACTGATGCCAGATTTGGAATCAGCACCCCAAAATTATCTTAAACCCGTTGGAATATATTATGCCAGAAAAAGTGTGTTGACCAGTGAATTATTTATATAAAACTTAACAACGCCCTCCGGCCATAGTCCGGGCAAAAACCCAGCGGGCCGGTTTTTGTCAGCACATTGCAAATAGAATCAAAGGAATTTAAATACAAATGTTTAAATTAAGTACTGTATTGTATTAGGGGCCGTCCATAAATGACGTCACGCACCTAGGGGGGAGGGAGGGGGGGTCAGACATTTGTGACGATGCGTGACGAGGGGGGGGGGGGTTTGAGAAATGTGACGTCACATCAAAATGCGCAACTTTAAATAAATATAGACGACACGTTCTACTTAATTAAATATACTTTTTAAATAAATGTTTTCTCCTACAACATCAGAGTGCAGCGCCACATTAAATACACACTACAATGACAATAGTTTAAAGCGATTTGAAGCATGTTTTTTTTTTTTTTTGGGGGGGGAGAGCTTTGTGACGTCATATTTGAGGAGGGGGGGTCTGACTTTTTGTGACGCCGTGCGACGAGGTGGGGGAGGGGAGTACAAATCGTCCAAAATCGCGTGACGTCATTTATGGACGGCCCCTAGACGGGGGTAGAGTCTTTGTATTTAAAGGGCTGCTACACGGTGGCGACAGCGGGTGGAGAGAGAAGTCCACGGCTGTAATCTTGTAAGGCGCTGCCCCCGTACAGGCATTCACTCACTCTCGTAGACAGACTTTTGACTTTTAAAAACAGCTTTTATTGCCGCCAGCAGCAACAGCACTGGAGGCGATTCCGATATAAAATACACAAAGCCACCAGCAACACAAACGAATTAACGCTACAAATCGACGCGCTGTGGCGTTAAATGCACCGCGCACAACACGAAAGAAAAGTCACGTGGTGGTGGTGTTGGTGGTGTTCTTCGTGCACGCCACGGTGACGAGCGAGCGCTTCAGAAGGTGAACACGAGGGTGCCGTCTACGCTGGTACAGAGAGGGGCTTTTCCGGCTCCCCAGCGTTCGAAGAAGTAGAGAGAGGAGAGAGAGACAGAGGAGAGAGAGAGGAGAGAGAGACACGAGGAGAGAGAAACTGCAATACCGGGTTGACGCGCGGAGTGGACGGAGCAAGCCCCTATTCCATCTCCCTGTCCCAAAAATCAATGTAATATAAGGTAGCACAATGTGGTACGTATCAGATATTAAACTGGTAAGAACAGGAGAGAGAGAACGATTCGGAGGCGCCAGAAAGAACCACAGACACGCGGCTCAAAGCAGCCACGCGGTTAAGCCGGCGTCAACAATTGCCCAAGGTCTGCGGTCCTCTCTGTGCATTTATACTGGTAGGAATCTCCTGGTTACACCAGCCCACAGGGGATTATTGTGTCCGTCCGTCCGTCGTGCAGGGAGGAGCTGGGTGGGAAGGGTGGGGAGGGGCTGGGTGGGGAGGGTGGGGCTGGGTGGGGGGTGGGAGGGGTGGGGCTGGGTGGGGAGGGGCTGGTCACCCCGTGATGCCCTTATAAAACTCAACGTTTAACCTACTCACGCCAGCTTGTGGCCGCCCTCACAGTCGGCCATATTTGCGGAATACACCACGCCACGTTGACCCTGGCCATTGACCGAGCAACCCAACGTTCCTACCAGCTCCCTCCGTAGGAATGTGTTATGACACGCTTTTATATAACTCACTCTATCTGTTGTTGTCGTTATTCTTGTCGCTGTTGTCATATTCTCAAATCTTGTAACTCAATTTTAACCCACTTCCCAATGTGGTATCGACTGCGAACTTGGCATACTTATGTCATACTGATGACAATATTATATTCTATTATAAAACATTTTTAAGAATATTTTTAAACATTCATTTTTATATGTTATGTTTCGGCTTGGGTCTAATTGTCCATGCTCAACTAACGTTGGCTGCAAATCACCTTTACGTTATGGCAATCTTTGGGGCCACTTCCTGGAGTCGTGGAGTTCTGCCATTACTAGTACGGTACATTTCATTAAAGCGTGTTTTTAAAAAAGTATTTTTAAATATGACTTTTCATGTCATGTTCATGTCCCTGGTCGTGTTCGTGTTCCCGATCACGCTCACGCCCGCGTCTCTCCCCCCTCTGCCCTCGGCCGCCGTGACAGGAGAACGCCCTGCTCCGCACGCACCAGCTGATTGAGGCGACGCGCAACGTGGCGGAGAAGCTTTGCCCGACTCACGCCCGAGTCCTCGACTTCTTCTGCGAGCGCGAGCAGCGGCCCCTGTGTCACGAGTGCTCCCTTGGCTCCGAGCACCGAACGCACCGGCACACGGCGCTGGAGGAGACGTGCAGGGCCAAGCGGGTGAGCGGGTGCTCCACCGACTCTGAAACACTCGACGAAAAAACACTCACCGACTCTGACATGCTCACCGACTCCGATATTGGCTCACCATACGCTCACCGACTCTGAGACACTCACCCACTCTGATGCACTGACTAAATCTGATACACTCACCCACTCTGATTAAATCACCATACACTTGTAATAAAGGTCGTGGAAGCGACCGGTCTTTATTTGTCTTTCGTTCACAACACTCCTATCTTACTCCTTCACGCTGCTGACAGACAGCGCGAGAGGGAGAGAGAGAGACACGCGCGGCCACGTGGCAGCCTGGACCACGCTCAAGCGTGGCCTCACCCTCCGTTCGTTCCAGATCTGACCACGTGTTGTTCGTCTCCACCCCTTTTAATACCCGGGTCACGTGGTACCTTTCCACCAATCCTGGTTAACCTCTATGGAATCTTCTAGACTCCATCGTAGGTTCCCAGGACCGCGCCCCTGACTCGTCTCCCCATTGGCTGTGGCTAAAGTCAGCAGAACCAATCCTCTACTTACAGATGTCACCTTCCCATTTTGTCAGGGCCACGCCCCTAGACTTCCTCCCATTGGCTATGGGCCAGGACCGGCAGAGCCAATCATCGTGACGAGGTGTAATCCATCAGCAACCCGGATATATCCTCACATTACACACTCATCAACCCCGAGAGGCTCATACTTTATGGTTTTTAGGTAAAGTCACGTAAGTCAAAAGTAAAAAATAATAGAAATAATAATAGAAATAAAATAATAAAAATCACGACGTTTCGGAGGCAACACAAGTCTCCGTCATCAGGTGGGACCGTCACAGCTAGATTTACTGTCTCAAGTGACTTTACCGAAAAACCTAAGAGTAT